GCATTGGAAATTCACTACCGCAGCCATACTAAAGAACGTCCATTTATTTGTACAGTCTGCAATCGTGGGTGTTCCACTATGGGTAATTTAAAACAGCACTTACTGACGCACAAATTAAAAGAGCTGCCTTCTCAGTTATTTGAACCCAACTTTACTCTAGGTCCCAGCCAAAGTACTCCTAGCCTGGTCACCAGTACAGCGCCTACCATGATCAAAATGGAAGTGAATGGTCACAGCAAGCCGATCTCTTTGGGTGAGGTCCCCTCGCTTCCAGCTGGAATCCAGGTTCCTGCTGCACCACAGACAGTGATGAGTCCAGGAATCACCCCCATGCTGGCACCCCCCCCACGCCGGACTCCCAAGCAGCACAACTGCCAGTCGTGCGGGAAGACCTTCTCCTCAGCAAGTGCACTGCAGATACATGAACGCACCCATACCGGTGAAAAACCGTTTGGTTGCACAATCTGTGGTAGAGCTTTTACCACAAAGGGGAATCTTAAGGTAAGAGGCCAAATGAAACTGTGAAGGCTTGGGAGGTTTAAAGACGCTGTGTTTAAGCTTTGCAGGTTTTAATGTTGCTTGCCCCAAAACCAGGAGAGAAGGGAGATTGGAAAAGATGCTTGCTTATGATGGTGGTATTTATTATGCTTCCACTGTGCTAAAGATAGGAGCTGGAAAGCAGGTGCACAATTTGTGCTCGAAAGCTGGCTCCACATATATTTGCACACATGCATATGAAAACTCGCCTAACAAAGGTGATGCACATGCAGCCAGTGGACAGACGCATCCTGGTAGGACTTGTGGTGCAGAGGTGCAGAACAGGCTCACTATAAACCACAACTGCAGAACTCTTTTTCCCCTTTGGGTGCCAATCTTGCAAAATCCCATTTGCTGTTCTGTTTTCCAAGCAGTGCACACCAGAAAGCTGTTTCGCACTGATTTATAGTGAGTTACTACAGGACCGATGCCTCTTATTCCCAAAGTCTGTTTAACTACCAAGACACGGCAAAGCGAATACATTTTTCAATGTTCTGAAGCTTTTTCTTTAAATCTTTAGCAAAACTGATGCCTGTGCAATGAGACTGAGTACTAAGAAAACAGACGAGCTGTAAAAAGGGGAAGGGCAGAGGAAATGTGCGTCTCCTCGTGCAAGTAACGTGCTTGGTAGTCTGCAGAATACGAGAACTTCCAGTTCTCTCATGAAGCTTACTAAGCTAAGAGGACACATACTGTGTATTGTTGCAGTGCTGTATTTGTTTTCCCTGCGAAGATACAAATGCACATTGAAAAATTAGAACAAAGTCCTTTTCTGTATAGGTTGACTGGGCCTTAGGACTACTGGAGTTGATTGTTTTCAATGTGAATTGAAAGACATTCTGGAGATGAGGAGAAAAAAAAAAAAGGCAATGCTGTAAGTAGCAGGATGTTGAGGTGAGCAGTCTTCCTGGAGGGGGCTAATTTGGAGGTGTTTCTTGTCCCTGTTTCCTCTGCAGGTTCACATGGGAACTCATATGTGGAATAACGCCCCTGCAAGACGCGGTCGCCGGCTCTCTGTGGAAAACCCTATGGCTTTGCTCGGTGGCGATGCTCTGAAGTTCTCTGAAATGTTCCAGAAGGATCTGGCAGCTCGGGCCATGAACGTTGATCCCAATTTTTGGAACCAATATGCTGCAGCTATCACTAATGGACTTGCTATGAAGAACAATGAGATTTCTGTCATACAGAACGGAGGCATTCCCCAGCTCCCAGTAAGTTTAGGCGGAGGTGCCATCCCGCCTTTAAGTAACATTACCAGTGGCATGGACAAAGCTCGCACTGGCAGCAGCCCTCCCATTGTTGGTTTGGACAAAGCAAGTTCTGAAACTGGAGCCAGTCGTCCATTCACCAGATTTATTGAGGATAATAAAGAGATTGGCATAAATTAAAAGAATTCATTACAAATAACTGTTGGACCACTACTCAACACAACTTTTGTTCTGTTTCCTGTACAGCTGTTAAAGCTAAGCATTAGTTTCCTGACCTAAATGCATAGGTTCCCTTTACAGTTTTACCCATAGCAGAAATACGTAACTTTGTGGCTGCTGAAAAGTTGTCTTGCAAGATCTGCATGGTACTTCTTTCAACAGTGAGTTTGACTGTTACTGAGAACTTTGAAACCTTTTAATTTAACAGAAACAAACAAAAAAAATCATTGGATAACTTCATTAAAAACAAAAAGAGGCTAGACTACGTCCACTTTGCTTCTTACAAAACTTACTCTCAACTGAGAAAGGGGGGCTTCATTACAGCATTCTGCCACACTTATTTGCTGGTTTTGTTCAAATTAGTTAGCAACCTGGACTATGTTTTTAGGAATCTTAATCTTAAATAAGTGATTTTAGTACCCCAATGCTGTGTATTATTACAGTATCCTTGTCTGTAGTATTTATAATGTTAAGATTATGCGGGTAACAGACAATATACTAGCCCCAAACTTAAATGAAGCTTTTGTACTGCAAAATACATCTGGCTATGTGATTTTTCTTTTTCTTTCTTTTTTTTTTTTCTTCCTTTTTTTTTAAAAGCAAGTTTTGTTTTACTATAAATAAGTGGTTTATTTCAATGCAGGCAAAATTGTGAAGTTTTATTGGGAAAGATAGCATGCTTTTCATGTGCAAGTACCTGTCAGTAACAAACCTTTTTTTATTTAAGTATTTGTAGCTGCTATGTGGACAGTTGTTCTATTAAATGGAAAAAAAAATGTAGTGTGGACTTTAGCTCAATGATCGGAAAACAAGTTACAGACAAACCTTAGAACCATAAATTATTCACAACATTATAAACAGTTGTGAGTAAATTCTTCATGTTATCAAAGCTGTACAATAAAAAAGGTAATGTTTGTATAACGTGGTTGCAAACTCTTAATTTATACTATTGCACTTTTAGTATTTTGTATTAGGGAGGTTTGTCTATAATTTGAAACTGAACAAAGATGTAAACTATTTTATAAATAGTACTTTCACTTGAGGAATATGGGGAAACCCCCCGTTACAGCTTCTCACTTTGTTTTAAGGTCAAACAATGAGAGATCTCTATTAGCTAAGCAGAAAAGCCACAGAGAACTGTCAGATTCTTAGGAAAAATGGGGCCTGCCATTTCTTAAATTGAAATGATTCATTTAACTTTCCTATGAAACACATTTAAAAGCGTGACCACCCTTAACAATTCCGATAAATTTATCTGAGTGTGGTATTAATACAAGCCTAGGATAGACTAAGGAGAATGTTGTGTAGGATTAATTTTTCTGTAGTCTGTTGTCTTTCACACATGCCCATCAGAAAGATGCTGACTGCCTAACAGCACTGGAAAAAAAAAAAAAAGGGATTTCAGGCAGCATAAGCAGTAGTAACATAAAAATATTCTGTCTTTATTCCCAACCCTTGCTGATTATCTTCTCGGATTACTGCAAAGCACAATGTACTCTGATTGCTCTAATATAATTTTATGTTGATTGCATTGTTTAAATTACACCGAGTAAATAAAGGGAACGGTTCCACTCAGAAGCTAGGCTGGGCACATTGAGGAGGTTGGGGCTTAATCAAAACTTGAACAGTAAACATTTTGTGTACTACCTCATTTTGCACATTACAAGCGTGGTGGAGTCTGACACCATGAACTTCCGTCCAGCGGGATTGTTTGAGGAACCTTGTGGGTAGCTGGGTAACAGCACAAGGAGTTTTATGCCCCCGAAGAAAGAATCAGACAGTGAGGTCTTCTCAGTCGAGGCTGCAAAATAGGACAATCTTTCTTCTCCAACAAAAAACATTACTGTAGGAGGATGGACTATTTCTGCCATCATGTAATTGAGTGAAAAGAGTTTCAAAGACTTACTAGTCTTTGCTTTGCTTTCTGTCGGAAATGAGCAATGAACTATACAGCTCTGTCTTCTACGGTGTGGAGATAGAGATATATAGATACACGCATTTATCTAGAAACAAAATTATATATCTGTAACACCTCTACAATATAACATCTTTTTATCACAGTGTGAGGGTGGTTAGGGGTGTTTCCAAGCATTGGGAAAAAAACTGAGGTGGCTTAATGTTGCTGTATTTCAGCAATTGAATGTTTTTTATTTATCTGTGTCATTTTTGGTGTGACTTTTCTTTTTGGTTAGTATTTGGTACCATGTAGTGTTATCTCTGCTCCCTAAAGGATGTGTATAACTTTAAAAAAAAATAAAAAGGAAAAGAAAAAAGGAAAAGAAAAAAACATGGAAAAAAAAAGATGTAAAGTGTTGTAAATAAGATGGTTGATGATGGTACAGTAAGACTGACCCCATTTTGTATTCAGGGTTAGGTCATTCCTCTCTGCATGGTGAAGAGAGACACTATTTTTATACTGTGATACCATGTAGGGCTAGGAGCCTCCCTGAACCAGCTGGGAATTGTTACCTAGATCCAATATTTTTTATTATTAAATCTTGTTGGCTTGACACATCTACTGATTGAAATGGATGTCTTAGTCTAGGTTACTATTTTTGTCATATGGAATTGAATAAAATGCAGGATGTAATATTATTTCTGAATTGCGTTCCTTGATTATTCTAATAACAGAGCAAGATATGAGACTAAGGTCACCTGTGGTAGATTGGTGTCAATGACTTTTAATCGTCACATCTGAAAATCGGAATAAGGTCGACACCTTGTATTCAAATCCTATTCTAATAATATATTAATGGTGCACAGGGGTAGAAATATTAAAGTCTCTTTTCAATTAAAAAACAAACAAACAAAAACCTCTAAGAGCACATGTCACAAGACAGTAGAAGAAAAAAAACATTTTGGAGTGGGGAAAGCAGCCTTTGGAAGTACTGTTGTGTCTAATGGCCTGCAGTCTCAACGCTTCTCCTATAGTGCATATAAAAAAAGAAAGCTTCCTTCTTGTGTTGTTTAAGCATCTGCCTCGATTTCATGTTACATTACGTGATAAGATTTGGAAACAAATTTATCAGATGTAATTCAAATTCTAAAATACCCTGGGGTGGGGGTGGGGGGGGAAGTGACAACTCACATCCATTCATTCCAAATGACATATTCTGAACTTTAAAATCAAATTCATGTTTTGAGGAGTGTTGTGGGTTCCTTTCCTGTTTGGAAACCTGTGAGTTTATCAAAGCATGTCTAACTTTAAGCAAATTATTTTTTCATGTTGATTCAAATGAGAGTATTTACATTCTTAAGGTTAGGCATGTGATAAAATGTCTCCTGCAAAAAAAAGCTGTATGTTTGACTAACCTTCAAGCTGTTATAATCCGGTGATGAATGCCCACTGCTTTTTACAATGGACAAAATATAAATAAAATAAAAATCTGTACTAATCATCCTTCCGTGGCCTTGTTACGAAGACACTCTGCTTTATAAGACCTACCCAAAGAAGGTACGAGTTTCCTCTGGTGCCTCAGCCACAGCCCTAGGTTTGCACTTGTGCTCATGCCCCTGCGTGTTCATCCCCGAGCCTTGCTGTGAGACAGTGCAATGTGCAAAAAAGAAGGGAAGCAAAAAAGCACTGATAGTTCTCATTCTGTTCACACTGTAAGAAGAAAAATATCTTCCTTCCCCTTTTCCCTTCAAAAAGGATGAAAGTAGGAGTGGTATCTATTTTTAAATATGTATGGGTATTTTTGTTATTATAGGAAAACATTAAATAAATTGTGATATAGATCAGACAGGTCAGAAGCTGCTGAATTAGAGATGTTTAAAATTACAATCATATGGGATCTCTATAACTGGAATAACTTCAGATTATTTGTTTGGAATAACTTCAGGATTTTTTTTTTGTGGGGGATGGTTGTTTTAAAATGTGAAAATTCCAGCAAGGCTTTCAAAACTTTTTGCATTATTTTTCCATGAGTTGTTAGGAAGAAGGCATTTTTGATGAATGACTGATATGAACCACTTTTTGCTTGTTTCTTTTGTTTGCTTTTTTTCTTTTGTATAAACTAGCCCTTGATGCAATATCTATTCCCTTACCAATTTTGTCCATCCTTTCTCGGCAAATATTTTGTTTTCCTAAAGCTGCATTTGTGCTGCATTTGCGTTGCCTTTAACTTCTCTGCATGTTCTCTGTCATTTGGAAGATGCTGTGTTTTATTTTTTCCCCTTTTTTCTCTAATTCTGCAGAAGTCAAAAGAGCTGCCTGTTATTTACATCTGTGTGTAACACTAGCATAATGAATGATGAAGTCGTCAGTGATATAATCAGGTATGTGCCTAGCTCACAGGATCTGCTAACAAACATGCCGTTCACACGCTTTCCTTTAGATGAAGGCATGAGGTTTGTTAGTTTGCTGCTGCAGAGCAGCCACAGGAAGACAAAGATCCTGACCGTGATTTCCCTCCACCTGCTTTTATACCACTGGAAACCGCATGGGCTTCAGTGGAAATGTTCCAGATTTGTTCTGGTGCAAGGAGTGCTTCCAGGTTCAGCTGTCCGGCACTGCTTTTAGATGTCATCTAAAATGGCTAGTTATGTATTAAAAATTACATCTAGGCAAAAGCATTCCGGATTTTGTTTTTAACATAAGGGGGAGAGGATAATACACATATTTTAGTAGGCAACACAAGGTTTTCCCAGTTTGAAAGGAAGTCCTCTTTTGAACTTGAAAAAAATGACCGTGTCCCTTAATTTAGAATCTGATCTCAAAACAACATTATATGAGTAATCAGTCCCTTTTCATTTAAATGGATAAAAGAAACTGTAACTTTTATATATAAATACATAAAAAGTGGAAATATTACTGTGATCCTGCTACTGCCAGACACTAACAGACAAACACTTTTACTTTACAGATATGAAGGATATCAGTAGATTTATTAGACAAAAAATACCTTAGTGCATGTTGCAGCACTGTATATTATTTTATTTTTCTAGAAGGAAGAATTGCTCAGCTCACTGAGTGATAAATTTGAAAGCCGAAAGCTTCAGGCTCTGCCAGTGACAGATTTTAGGGATGCGGACAAGTTACTAATTAGACTCTGATTCTGCTTGAGAACTAAATACTTTTGGGGCCTCTGGGAATGAGGGAGTGAATTCCTTTGGCAAAGTCAACTAGCACCTTGTAGTCTTGGGATGAATTACCCCATCAGAAAAGAAGGGGTAATACTTTTGGACCTACCTCACAGGGGTGTTGTGAGGAATAGTTTATGTTTGTACAGTGTTTCAAAAATGGAAAATGCTTGGTATTATTGCTGATTTTAGAGAGTTTACAGTACGCGTACTATTATTTATTATTTGTACTCCAGTAGTACCCATGGGCTCCAGTCAGGACTGAGAGTCCTTACGCTAAATGTTGTACACTCATGTAGTTGGGACTGATACAAAATTTTACTCAGTAACATTTTCCAATGGAATTATTTCACTATCAAGCATCTACTTGATCACTATAGTGGGTTTCACTCAATTACTTAGGTGTTTAAATTGATGATCAGTTTTAGAGAGAATTATCTGTTATCACGTTTTG